CATCTTTTAGATATGAACTTGATTAATTACAGAAGTTAGAGGCCTAAACTGCAGGATCAAAAGGTAGGTCCTCCTATATACCAACTGGCCATTAGGATTTTATGGATCATGATAATTTTCTACCTATTTAACACACTTTAAACTCATTAACAGGTATATTCTATGATACGTGTTGTTATTTGTTGGCCCAAATAAGATGGCCCATTACCACTTAGGCCCAGTTCCCTCTTCTCAGCAACTTATGTGCCCTAGCCCCTCTATTTTCTTCTCCTACCCGATTCTTCAAGATCTCCTCCGATCTCTGTGATCCGATGGCCGCCGCTGTGAGTCCCATCCGTAGGTCGGCTCCTACCTCTCTAAACCCTAGCCTCCTCCTCCATGTCGGCTGCCCCCTTCCCCATATAAGGTGAAGGGCCGGTAGTAGCTTGGATGAGGAAGAAAAAGTGACGGTGTCTTGAGATTCAGAGCTAAGTGCTCCTCCCCTTTGTGTGATTAACCTCCTTCTGTGAGCTTTGTGCTCCTGAGAACTTTGTGCTCTTTCCCCCTTTGTGGGACCCCTCTTTGTGAGTGACTGGTGAAGGAGATCAGTGAGCTCTCCCCTTTGTGTTCTTGGTGGTGCACTTGAGTGGAGAACGGGGACTGATTTAGCAGGTTTCTGAGCCACTTCGGTGACTCGTCGTCGCTCAAAACCGCCGGTCGCCGCCGCCAGTCGCCGCCGCCAGTCGCCGCCGCCGGACAGCCGCAAGGGTAAGGTCGAAACCCTCCCCTAGGGTTTCGCTCAGGTGAGGTGACGAAAATCTGTTTCTGTAGTTATTAGCTTGATCTTGTCTGCATCGCCATCTTTGAAGTTGTTGTGCATTCAATCTGATTAATCTCTGGCTTTGTTGAAAAATTACAGTAAATCTTTGGGTCTGTTAAAATTTTTCAGAAATTAAAATACTGTTTTTTTGGGTGTGCTCGTGTGAAAGATCAAAGAGATTGAAACAAGAACTTTGTGTTCATCGCTCTTCTCATTTGTTCGTGCTAGTTGCTTCACACGTTTCGAGCCGGATAATTACCAAAATCGTGCTATTTTTTATTGCTGTTTGTTTTTCTGTGTGAAAAATGTCCGCTGCTAATCAATATAGTATGATTCAATATGGTATGGCGCCGTTCAACGGAAAATCTGATTTTAGCATTTGGAAACAAAAAATAAAATGCATCTTAATTCAACAGAAGTCCGTTAGGGCTGTTGGTCAGACTTATTTAACCTCTGACACTGAAAATAAACGGGCGGAAATGAACGAAAATGCTTGTTCCACAATTTATTTGAACTTATCTGACTCTGTGATTAGAAAAGTTGGAATTTTGGACTGTGCTAAAACTCTTTGGGATAAACTTGAAGAACTCTATACTGAAACCTCTTTGCCCAGTAAAATGTTTTTGCTTGAAAATTTTTTCAAATTTAGATTGGATATGTCTAAGGACATTGAGGAGAACCTAGATGTTTTCACAAAACTTATTTCAGATATTAAGTTAACTGGTGATAAACATATAGATGATTATACTCCTATTGCCCTTCTAAATGCTATTCCTGACTCATACAGTGATGTGAAATCTGCTATTAAATATGGTAGAGATGAGGTTACCCTTGATGTTGTGGTCAATGGTCTTAAGAGTAAGGAATTAGATTTAAAACATTCTGGGGGAAATAAAAATTCTGGTGAGGTTATGCATGTGAGGGGTAGGCCTCAGAATAGGTCTAATTACCAAAAGAATGCTAGTAATGGGGAATCAAGTAAGAAAAAATTTGAAAATGGAAGAGGTAGATCTAAGTCCAGGTTTAAAGCTAAAAAATGCTATAATTGTCATGAAACTGGTCACTTTATTAAAGATTGTCCTAAGCCTAAGAAAAATCAGCAAAATGAACATGCTAATATGGCTGTCTGTGAGGGCAAAATGGGTGAGATTTTCATGATTAATAATCTGTGTGATTATGCATATTTGAACTCTGTGTTATCTGATCCTTTGTGTAAATCAGATTGGTTGGTAGACTCTGGTTGTACTTTTCATATGACTCCTTTTAAAACCTTGTTTTCAAACTACAAGAAAATAGAGAATGGCTTTGTGTCAATGGCAAATGAAAAGAAATGCAATGTTTTAGGAACTGGTGATGTATGCCTTAGGTTTTCCTCTGGTTCTGTGTTTACTTTGAAGGATGTTAGGCATGTTCCTGATTTACGTTATAACTTGATTTCTTGTGCATCTCTAGAAAATGATGGTTTGGAGGGAAAATGGGGTAAAGGGGTTATGAAAATTCAAAAAGGGTCTCTTGTTGTTTTTACTGCTGAAAAACAAAACAATTTGTATATTTGTCATGCTGAACCTGTGCTTGATTCTGTTAACTCTGTGATAGGTGATAAATCTGTTTTATGGCATAATAGATTAGGTCACATGAGTAATAAAGGATTAGAAATTTTGCATAAAGGAGGTCACTTTGGTAGTGATAAAATATCCCCCATCCCTTTCTGTGAATCTTGTGTGCTAGGAAAACAACATAGGGTTACTTTTCCTACTTCTTCTTTTCCTAATCAGTCTAAGTGCACTAGTGTACTTGAATATTTGCATGCTGATGTGTGGGGTCCCTCTAGTGTGCCTACGCATGGAGGGAACCAATATTTTCTTTCCATAATTGATGATTATTCTAGGAAAGTTTGGGTTTTACTCATGAAACAAAAATCTGAAGTTTTTGATAAATTTAAAAACTGGAAAATTATGATTGAAAACCAAACGGGAAAGAAAATTAAAACTCTTAGGACAGACAATGGTCTTGAGTTTTGTAACAAACAATTGAATGATTTGTGTACTACTTGGGGTATTAAAAGGCATAAATCTGTTCCCTATACACCCCAGCAGAATGAGATTGCTGAAAGGATGAATAGAACTCTCTTAGAGAGGGTGAGGGCTATGTTGGCCACATCTGGGCTCTCCAAGAAGTTCTGGGGAGAAGCTGTTTGTACTGCAGCCTATTTGATTAATAGGTCTCCTTCTGTTCCCTTAGGAGGGAAATGCCCTGAATTTGTGTTCACGGGCAAACCTCTTGATTTAAATAATTTGAGAATTTTCGGGAGTGCTGGCTACGTGCATCAAAAGATTGATAAGTTAGAACCTAGATCTAAGAAATGTGTTTTCTTAGGATATCCTGAAGGGGTAAAAGGTTATAGGCTTTGGAATAAGAGTGAACCGGGGTTTAAGGTAGTGATAAGCAGAGACGTTGTCTTTAATGAAAATGAATTTCCTTGTTTACCTTTACATGTTCCTATTCCTGAAAATGATGCTCCAAATGAGGTGGAGCAAAAGCCTATTATTAATCAACCCAAATCATTTCCTGAAGAAAAATTGAATGATATAATTATTGAAAATCAAGATGAGATTATTCCAAATGAGGTGGAGCATGATATGCAGGAAATAGATAACATGCATGATTTGAATGATTATCAACTCACTAGGGATAGAAATAAAAGAACCATTAGGAAACCTGAAAGATATAGAGATTGCAATTTGATTGATTGTAATATGTCTGAGTTTGCCTTTAATGTGTTTGAATCCCTTGAGTGCAATGAACCTAAGACTTATAAAGAAGCATTAAGGTCAAAATATTCTGAAGAATGGATTAGTGCTATGAAGAGTGAGATGGAATCCCTAAAAATTAACCAAACATGGAAACTTGTTCCTAAACCTGCTAGTTGTTCTGTAGTGGACTGTAAGTGGCTGTTTAAGGTGAAACAAGAATCTGAAAGTGTTAGGTTTAAGGCTAGGTTAGTAGCTAAGGGATTTACTCAAAAGGAGGGAATTGATTATGCTGAAATTTTTGCTCCTGTTGTCAAATTCACTACTGTTAGAATTATGCTTGCTTTAGTTGCTCATTTTAATTGGGAATTAAAACAAATGGATGTAACTACTGCTTTCTTGCATGGTGATCTTGATAAAAACATTTATATGCACCATCCTGAGAACTTTGTGCTCTTTCCCCCTTTGTGCGACCCCTCTTTGTGAGTGACTGGTGAAGGAGATCAGTGAGCTCTCCCCTTTGTGTTCTTGGTGGTGCACTTGAGTGGAGAACGGGGACTGATTTAGCAGGTTTCTGAGCCAAACGACAACGTAGATCCTTAACAATACGCAGACAGGAAAAAAAAACAATTTGTTGTTAGAAATTTCACAATACCTGTGTGAGAGAGATCGCAGTTTTCCATGTTGTGTGGGCTCAGAAAGGGACTCTCTCACCCAGTCATCACTTACTGGCTAAGTTAATGAGCTTCTTTTCTTTTAGTTTAATATTATTACTCTCTTTCTTTTCCATGTCCAAAAGAAAGGACACCTCAAGAGATTCTAGATTTCTTTAGTATCAATTCCAGGTTTTATTTTTATTTATTTATTTATTTTTATTTTTATTTTTTGGTCTCAGAAAGGTAAAGCACTATTAAAAAGTTTGTAAGTAGTAATTGATCATTCAAGATCGGTTATCAGTCTGATATCAGTCTCCTATGAAATGGCTCAAAACTGTTGAATGAAAAAAATGGATGACAAGAGAGGGACTTAACATAAATAATTAATCCTCGAAGCAACTAATAACAAGCTATAGAAGTATAAAATTTACCTGAATCTTTGACAATATTTGCAGAAACTCTATAATCATTGGTTAGTTGAGGGATTTCATCAGCTCCTAACCGTCTGCGAAATAAATCATCTTCTCAGTTAATGAGGAAACTGGCTTAGCTGCTCTAGATATAATCAGAGACAAGGTCTAGCAATATTTGAGGTAAAAAAAAGCCAAGATAACAACTACCCTTCGATAGTGAAATCTATTACATGCTTATGTTTGTATCCAAATTTCAAATAAACTCTTTCTAGAACTGCAAACTTCAAATAGAGGATTGCTTACAGGCAAGTTAAATGAAGACAAAAATAAGAAATTGAACTTATAGATATACATAAATCTGAATTTTTTAAAACCAACCTCATACAAAAACACTACTGTTATATTAGAATGGGGTTGTGCGTTGATGCTCACAACATACACTTCTTTTTAAAAGACTACAGATTTTAGGATACTTTTGACGGTACTCATTAATCATGATCTATCAACAATTTCACTTCAAAGTATTATATAATGTTCCGACGTACAAATTTAGATCCAAGTTCTTGAAGCAAACAACTCCTTGAAATAGACTAAACAACTCCTTGAAATAGTCTATTTATCAGTAGGATATGGACTCTGCATATGTTTATAATTCAGAGACATAACACGAAAAATTCGCCATCTTGCTTCGTTCCAAGACTACCCAAGTATTTATCCCTCCTCCTTTTCCCATATCCTTACCATCCGAAAGAAGAAGCACAAACTCGTCCATTCCACTAACAACGGGCCCTCCATAGCTTGGCTTCCCATACCCAAAATCAAGCTCATGAAACGGAAGCTTCCACCATGCTGATACATAGAAACTCCCATTTGCTGTCGAAGGAACACCCTTATGCACCTCAAGCCAATCTATCACTGACCTCACATATTCATCCGTTACCCTTTCGATACCCTCTCTCACTTTTTCAACACAAAAAGAAAAGGGCTTATTGTCAATATCAAACACACGTGCACTAGCAGAGGCAGATATTACTGCATTGCCCATGTATCCGTTAGGCAAAGGTGGTTGCATTTTGGACCTTATATCAACTGCAAAGAGAACAGAGGATATCTCATTTGAATCATCGAAGATGGCCTTTGTTCTAGCTCTCCATATGTGAGCCACTATCGCTTCGAAGCTTGAGCATTTCATTGAAGCATTCTCCTTGAGACGATCAATCATCATCGAGCTGAAAGGGAAGAGCCTGAAATCATGGTTCTTGGAGAGAGTTAAGAGAGAAGGAGGGGGAGAGGGTTGGTTTGGCGAGGTGAAGGATGTAATAGTTGATTCAGCTGGCTTGCTGTATTCTGCATGAATGAATTTTATCTGAGGTGGGTCTCTAGCTTTGATGCAAGACCTGTCAAGGTTGAAATTGTAGGTTTTCATTCCCTCACCCTTGCAGACTGAGGCTAAGTTCTGCATCATTTCAGCAGCTGATCTCCCATCAAGCACACTGTGGTTTGTTACGAATCCGATCGAGAAGCCACCACATCTGAACTTTGTTACCTTCATACAGGCATGGTATCAGTTTCAAATATTTTGGGGTAAATTTAACAAAAACCCTGAACTTTATAAATCATAGATAAAAGGTAGACTAAAAATTTAAAACTACTCCTTTTACCTCTTATCTGCCCTTACTTGACCAGGATAATATAGAAATTAGAGACGAGAAAAATTGTCCAAAAGTTGTCACATGACAATTGTAAGTTAACATCGTAAGTCATGGGAGTTAAGTGAGGCAAGTTCAGGAAGCTTTCTCTTATTACACAATTCAAACGAGCTTTTGTGCAAAACCGCCCATAGTTCAGGGGAGTTTCTGATTCTCATTGAAGTGAAATGCATACCTGAATTGTGAAAATGGGAGTATCCGCTAGGCTCTTGAAACTGTCCGTTCTAAGGATCAGATGCTGGAATGAGGGATTGGGTAGCGAGAGGTTCCCAAGCTCCTTCAAGCTAAGGTTTGATTTGGCACCAACATACAAGACTCCAGCATTGTTGCAGACAAGCTCAAGCCTCTTAGTTTTGACGTTCAAGTTGAGTCTTCCAGCCATGAAATAGTAATGTATCAGTAGCACATCAGATACTGATCTTCGCACTCTCTCAGTGATATCTGAAGTTATTGTTGCATCGCCATGTGGCGCCTCATAAAAGAAGATAGTTTCAACGGGAAAAGCAACAGTTTGGTCTATGTTTGAAAGAAAGACTACCTCTGTAGGTGTTGGATGTACTGGAGAGACGAGAGTTACTGGCACTTCTTTCACAACATCCTGGCTGGTCAAGAGAAATGTAGTCTCCATAGGAGATCGGATACAGCAGAAGTCCGTTGAGCTGTTTGTCGAATGGAAGTGGATTGGATGCAGATATGCCTTAAATAAGAGTTTGTAGATCTCTAATGTCAAAACTTAAGACATTCTTTAGAAAGAAATATGAACTGAATGAATTAAGTGTCATTCTCTGCCCGTGCATCCTTACATATCGGCACGACAAGAGCATTTCTTTCAATATAGCTGAGAGTGGTCTCAGTGAAAGAACATGACAAGATTGAGGGAATAGGTGAGAAGAGAATCGAGCAAAGTAAATTAGTTGGTGGATGGGCTCATAAAGTGTGACACAAGCTAATTCCTCAACAACCTTCAAGAAAGACCAGAGGTTTTCATAAACAAGGAATTTGAAGGAACAAAAAATAATACCCTTTCTAGTATGCATGATGAGGGGAAAAAACAAAAGAAAAACAAAAAGAAAAAAAGAAAAAAAAAACAGACAAAACTTACCAGAATCAATTTGCAATAAGGAGGTTCAACACAGAAAACTTAATCAACAACAAATTCGAGATTACATTTTAATTGTTCGAACTCCTCCAAAATTAGCTTGATCACACTCAAGACTCAAGAGACGCTCAAAATTGTGTGATTCCAAACAATTACAACATAATTACATAAAAACAATCATACTAAGATTTGAGGCGCTATGTCACAAACATCAATTTGAAATGGTAACAATACTGCCCAAAAAAAAATATTATGGTTGATATCAGTAAAAAAATCTTTATCCTAAATCTTCGAGGTTTGTTTTTGTTTTTGTTTTTTATTAACAAGCAATATTTGAGGCAGACATACACAATAGGAACAGAGATGATGGTATTTCTCTTAACATTCGATTCCAACTACATGATTTTCTGCAAACATGAAGCCCAAATAATACTAAACCAAGGAGAGGGTGAAAGATTTAAGCTCCTTTGTAGTTCGCATCAGAATTCAATAATAACATAAATTTCTATACTAACCACGATCCACTCAAACTAATTCAGATTCATGCTCATAAACAAAGTTCTATTCAAATATGGATTCAATGACATTTGCACAAGTAAAAAAAGTCAATGCTTAAAGAAAGCAAGCAACAATCTTCATATGATTTCGCTCGGAGTCAAATTGCACGGCACCGAGAAATTTAAAATGTGGTCATCACTTTTGCATGTTAACATAAGAACCCTAATATAATTTTCAGAAAAACTGATAATTACATTCCAGTTATAATACTTTCTTAACAAACAAAAAAAATCAAACTTTTTTACAAAAAATGAACCCAATTTCCCAAAAAAGGGGGAAAAAGAGAAGATCTTGATCTTTTTCTCGCTTCTCGCAGGAAGCGGCGATAGAGTTTTATCTTCAGCTCAGTGCATTGCCCAAAGAATTTCGCAATGGGATTGTTTGCGTTGCACTTTTGGAACTGCTCGATTATCTAAAAATCACAAATTGGATGAAACCCAGATCAATACAAAATCAAATTTAGTGGAAAATCAATCAATACGAACCGAAAAATAATGTATCAATTAGATACATCAGCAGACATTGGACTTTACAAGTTTTATTAATGGGTTATTTAGATATTAGTCTCTCAATATTCTATAATTTCATATCAGTCTCTCAAATCTCAATAATTATTCATGATCCCCTCAATTCCTGAGGGGTCTTGCAATTTGGTCTCTCTCAATGACCGAAATACAAACACCCCTCTATGACTTCTCTCTTAAAACTCATCTTATTAAAAAAAAAAAAGGTTATTTACACTTTGGCACTCTAGCACAACATTGTGAGAGTCAGTGATATCTTATTTAAAATTTACATATTTTTTAACTTTTATACCTTAAGGGCTTTCTTTTTAACATTTTTGTTATGACAAGAGTATAGAATGATACACACTAGCCAAGAGTATGGAGTGATGCACAATCATTACTGAGGATAGATTGGTGGCAAGATCGATTACAATTCTTATCTTATAACTCATTGTTTTAATGAGATGACAATTCAAATAATTGTTAGGCGAAACTTCACTATAGGTCCCTAATATATTAGCCAAATTTCATTTGAGTTCTTAATATTTAGAAGTCATCAATAGAGATCTCTAATGTTTTCTCCATCATCAAATTAGGCCCTTCTTGAGATTGTTTTTTTTATCTATTGATGACGTAGCAGCTGACTGGATTGTATTTTCTCTCTCTTTTTCGCCATGTGACCCCCTACAAGTTTTAAAAATTACAATTGACATTCAGAAAGCTTTAAACATTATAAATAGCCCCAAAAAAATTTCAAAAACTATATTGATCCTCTAAAATGTTTACAACCAACCTCCTAAAAGTTTTGAAAATTATAAATAGCACCTTAAAAGTTTTTTGTAATTTTTAGAACATTAAGGGGGCTATTTATAAATTCTTTATGGTTTGTTTGTAAAATTTTAGGGGTCCATTTATAGTTTTCAAAACTGCAGTCGTTGCTGACATATCTTTCAGAAGGGTTCTGACAAAATATTAGGGTATTATTATAATTTTAAAAGTTTTAAAGGGCTATTTAGAAAAAAATTTAGGGAACCCTGATTAGAAAATATGCAAACCGCCCCTAGAAGTTTGAAAAACTATAAATAGACCCCCAAATTTTTATAGACAGACCCCTCAAAAAATTTATAAACAACACCCTAAAAGTTTAAAAATTACAAATAACTTTCAAGGTGCTATTTATAATTTTCAAAATTTTTAGGGGATGGTTGTAATTTTTTTTAGGGGATCACTTGTTGCTTCTGAAAAATTTTAGGGGGCTAATTGTAATGTTAAAAACTTTTAGTGTGTTATTTATAATTTTTAAAACTTGCAGGGGATTCCATGGTAAAAAGAATATAGAAAAGACAGTTCAGTCAACTGCCATGTCAGCAATAGATAACAAAAAATCTTAAAAAGGACCTAATTTTATGACAGAGAAAATGTTAGAGATATCTATTGATGACTTGCAAATATTAAGAACTCAAGTGAAGTTTGGCTAATATGTTAGGGACCTATAGTGAAGTTTTGCCTAATTGTTATAGTCTCTCTAGCTGCGCACTTTGATAAATAAGACGCCAATAAACAAGGAACTTTATTGACAATATCCACTCTATTTAAAGATAAACCTCAATTTTGTTGTTATAGTCTTCGCAGCTGCTACGCTTGCAGGAATGAAAGTTCTTCAATAAAAATGTATATACATATTGTCCATATACAATCACACAAAGGTCATAAAAAACCCCAATCAAATAAATGATAATTATAATGTTACATGTACTGCAAATCTCAAACTCTTTTATGTCACAAGAGTCCCTTACCTGAATCTTGTAGCACAAAAATAGTACAAGACTAACAATAAAGTTAGCAAGAGCTACATAAACTACTTGCCATACCCCCACAAGTCCATCTGCCCTCCTTTGCTATCAACAGGCCCCCAGTTACTCCCTCCTTCAACATTCTGATGAATCTGCTCGCATCCGCCATTGACGCCGACCACACCCAGCCCATCGAAGTCGTAGCCTGTCGATGGTCGAGGGTTTGGTAGAAGATCTTGAAGCTGAGCTCCAGAGTAGGGATTTGTTGGTGGTAACTGGTGAGAGTACTGGTGCAGAGATATGTCAGGCTTGTAGAAGGTTGAGGTTTGTGAGGGGAGGTGGGGGTGGAAGTTGGGGGAGTAGAGTTCTGGCCGAGATTGGTCGTGGGTCATCTGCGGCGCCGCGGTGGTTGTGTAGGCTGGGGCGTCGATGGTGCTCGTTTGAGTTGACATCGCTGCTGCCGCTGGTGATCTTGAAGAAGCACTTCTTCTCGAAGACGTGGCATATTACCCATCCGTCCTCCTGCATGTAGGAGGAGGGTGACATACTCTGTGTTTTTTTAAAGTAAATTACAAAATGCAAAAGTTAAATTATCAAATAAACGTGCTCCATTACTATGTGCAGTGTCAAAACATGGAGAAACCTTGGACCAATGCATTTGATACTTTGTTAACGAAATTCTCTTGATTATGGAAGTGATATATAAATAATCTTTGAGGATTGTTCTATCTTCCTAATTTTTAGTTTCTAACCAAATAATTATCATATGTAAAAATTGACTTTTAATATATAAAATCATATACATATTTATATAGGATTATTGGTAATTAGTTTTCTTAAGGGTAGATTACGCAAAACCCCTAAGGACTTTCATCATTGCAGTAAACCCTCATAACTTTCAAAATCACACAAACCCCAAGAACTTTTAGCATTTTTCAGTAAACCACCAGTAGCTTAATTTCAAAATCGCACTAGCCCGCAATAACTTCCACAAAAAACCCTCAAAATTAACATAATTACATCTAACATGGCATGCGCAACTCGTGTGACTAAAAAGACTAAAATACTTCTTAAATTATTTAAAAAATTCGTTTACGGCCATTTTATATTTTTCAACCTTGAAAACATAAATCTCTTATCTTGATATTCATTCTCCTCTTGCTCGTGTCTAGGTTGGGGTTCGAAACCTTAATTGTTCTTCTATTTTAATTTTTGTTGAGATTGTCCTTCTAAATGCCTTTTTAGTTGTTTTTTTCTAATTTATAAGGATTATCTGCAAAGTGTGAAAACTTATTTAGGGTTTTCTGCAATTTCAAAAGTTTTTTTCCCTTCTTTTTTCCCTTCTTTGGGTTTATTACGATATGCTAGGGCTTTGGTTCGATTTTAAAAGTTATTTAGGGTTTACTGCAAAACACTGAACGTAACTTACCCTTTTCTTAATTCCATGATCATAACTTTTTATATCTAAGGATCAAATTGTAACTTTTGAACTTCTAGGATGTGTTTCTGTGAATTAATCTTCGAAAACTCTGAAGGATTTTTCTATAGTCTACTTTTTATTTTATATTGAACAATACATGCATGTTCAAAAAATAAAAGGTAAATTATACGAAAATTAGATGTAGAGGAGGAGGAAGAGGAGCAAATTGTTATGCTCAATAGGAATTTTCCCTAATAATTACTATTTGATGTCATCCCTCCATACCCTACTATCTATAAATATTTAGTCAAAGCTTTTCTTACAAGATATAGAAAATTTCTTTTGAGGTTTGCATAATTCGTATAAACTATATATCTAAGATTAAAAAAAACCTTCTTAACTTAAATTTTTGTTCAAATTATTATGTTGAAATGAATAAGGATCCTCTTCACTATAAAAAAAAGTAGTATAATGACCGTTACTTTTAATCACAACCACAAATTATTTAGTATGGGTGATTGTGATAAATCTAAATCTAACACTCACCTTGTTAGAATATAAATATATAACCTTCAATGCTCATCACAACTTTGAAGTTTTAGTGTAACGGGCAGAGAGGCTTTAAGATGGTATCAGAGCAACTTAGGTTCAAATCCTACTGACCGTGAATTTAATGAGGATTTTCTAAAAATTAATATTGTTGCATAAGAATAGCTCATAAAAAAGAATGCATAACTTGTGGGGGCATCTTAGAATATAAAAATATAATCCTTAATCTTCATCATAACTTCAGAGTTTTGGTCTAATGGTTGGAGACGCTTTAAGATGGTATCAGAATAATCCTGGTTCAAATCTTACTGACCATAAAGTTAATGCGGATTTTTCTAAAAATTCTATCCTTCAAATGTCACCACAACTTCAGAGTTTTTGTCTTTAGGACTTTAAGACATGCAATGTATATCCTCTTGAATTGCCCACAATCTTTATTTGCACTCAAAGAAAATAAATATAACAACCCACTAGATAATCAATAGTTATGAAACTTGTGATCTCTCCATTACTTTTTTGGTAGTGCAGAGAATCCGAATCAAAACTTCTAAGCAGAATTAAAGTAGACAGAGAGAAGAGATTTACATTATCACCGTCTTGATCATCATCGGCCTCTTCAAGACGATACTCGTGCATGATCCAGTCAGTCTTCTGACCGTGAGGAGCTCGACCGCGATAAAAAACTAAGGTCTTGCGCATGCCGATCTTCTTATAGCTTGTGCGTATGCACTTGTCACGGCCGGTTGCCTTCCAGAATCCTGCATTGGTTGCTCGGTTGGTTCGGGATCCTGTCGGGTATTTGCGGTCCTTGTGACTGAACAAGTACCAGTCATTTTGTGGGGTGGCTCCTATTTTGCATTTCTCTGCATAAATCAAATTTACATCAAAAGTTTAAATTATAGATGCAGAAACAATTGCTGATTTGAGAAAAAGACTATAGTTGAGGAAAAATCATCAATTGCGGCGTGGGGGTATATTGTGTGTGGATAACAATGACTAAATTTGGGGGAAATTTTCCCTCAAAAAAATTTTAGTTATTTGTAAATTGCAGGTAGGAGGATCGGATTAGAAAAGTTTAAAGTTCAAGCCAGTTTTGTGAGATAGTACCCCAAAGTTCAATGAGTTATGTAATTTAAATAAATTTAGGGGATTATGTGCAAAACGCCCAACATTCTAAGGTTTTGTGAAATTAACCTGGCAGGAAACTGATCGAATATGAATCGAATACTAAGACGTTCATGGTTGTCTTTCTTAAGAATCTTCAAGTTCAAATTTCCTTTTCTAAATTTCTTCAAATTTGACTTTGAATACTAATCATTTTTTAATATTCGCAAATATTATCAAATACTAATATATACTTATTTGATTAGTAATTTATATATAGTGAATGAGTACTATTAAGCTATATTTAATTGAGAGAATACTTTTATTTGATTAATGAAATACTTTATTTTTTAAAATAATTTGATTTTGTAAATAATATTTGGTTCCATAACTAAAAATTATTCATCTATAACTATAACGTATAAATCCCTAATATGGTCATATTTGGTTAAAAAATCAATTTAGGATGTCTTTAAGCCTTAAAAACTTAATATAGAACTTAAAGTAAAAATAAATAAATGGTTCAAAATTATATCATCATATGTATATATAATAGTACAAATTATGAGGGATCAACCAATGGTTAATATCAAAAAATTAAAACACACATTCGGCTAAATTCTATTCGCTTATAAACAGAATTATAATGTTATTTGTTTATTATTAAAAATGAACTGAGAATTCAGAATTTAATCAGATAATTAGATGGACAATTATAAACTATTAGACAAATATTTCGTTAAAAAGTTTTAACTTAGATGGTATTAAGAGAGAGGCTTTCCGACTAATAATTACCTTGCAACTCCCACGGCTCAATCTTATTCAAGTCCACATCCTTAATCACCTCAAGATCAAACTTCTCTGAGCACAACTTCTTCTTGAGATAGAACAAAAGCAACTCCTCGTCGGTGGGATGAAACCTGAACCCTGGGGGGACTCCGGGGCTCGATGAAGACGCCGAGTCCATCAATCTTAACTAGAAGAAATTAAGACTTAATTCAGTTCGAATCAAAGTCAATAGCTTGAATGAATTGGACCTCAAATTTTTTTTCTATGTGAGTTTGTGGATATGTTGATTTATACGTGTTCATTTGCGTCAACAAGGTTAAATGCCGGAAGCTACGGCTTTGGACTTGTATAAAGCTAGGATGTTACGTGAAAATTAAGCTAATTGCATGAGGCTCAGTAGAATTGAGGTGATTATTATTTGATTATGGGTTATTTTAATGGTTAAACGATCCCAAGGAATAGAATATCGATTCAATCGTGTATTAGTTGGATTAGTTTCAAAGCAATAGGAGCTAAAGCGATATCAGATAGGATTAATTTCTCAGGAATTTGGTGCAAGAAACGTTGAAGTTCAATAGAATAGTGGTGTTTGCTTATTTTATCCTTTTCAATTTCCATTGACTTTGAAGTTAGAGAGAGAAGTCAGCAGGGATAGCTTGCAGTTAATCCTCTCAATTAGTTTGATTAACCTCCTAATTAAAGTATAATCTCTCTCGAATTTTAACTTTCAAAAGTATACGAATTCCCCCTGAATTATTGCACTTAAGGTAATATATCACTCCCTTTAAAAGCACGAGTTCGGGAAAAATTTTCTATGGTCAGTATTACTCTTAGTTTTTTTTTAATATTACATTGTTCTCCTAATATATTCTAATTTTAATCATATCTTATATAATTCTACGTGAACTATCTATAGGTCAACAATTTAAAAAAATTTATTTTGAATGTTTCACTTAAATCTTAATCCATCCAAATACTAATTATATTCTATATTAACTCCATATGAACTACCTATAACTCAAAAATATAAAAAAATAAGATTAATAAATTATACGTAGATAACATATTATAATAAATGAAGTATTATAAAAAAACCTAAAAGTTTCAAAATTTGCATATAATAGCCTTAAAAGTTTAAAATTACACAAAGCACCTTGACTTTTTAAAACTTAAAAACAAACATGATATCTAAAAATTTAAAATTTGTAATTAACACCCTCAACATTTTAAAAATTATAGAAACAACCTCAAAAGTTTAAAGGCTAAATTACATTTATATACCCTATGTGTTTCGCTCTTGAAGAAGTTATATACCCTAAGTTACAAAATATAGCAAAAAAATACCATGAGTTGGTAAAATTTTGCAAGTTGGTACCTTCTGTTAACCAGCTATGTGAATATTCCCTAGAATATTCCCACGTGCTGGATCTATGACCAACTTGAATACTCATTACCCTTATTTATTATATTATTTACTGTATTACCTACCCCCACCCCCACCCCCACCCCGTAAATTAGATTATTTTCATCATCATCATCTTCTTTTCGTGGCCTCCAACTTCTTCTTCCTCTTTAATATGGGTAACAGTAGAAAATAAGAGTTTTCACTATGTTGGGGGGGGGGGGGGGTTAATTCTTAAGGAGGGGCATTATTGTCATTTTATGTATTTATTAACACAGTTAGCTAAATTTAAACAGTTGCCAACTCAGAGTATTTTTTGCTATGTTTTGTAACTTAAGGTATATAACTACTACAAGAGAAAAACAATAGGGTATATAAGTGCCATTTAGCCATGTTTAAATTACAAAAAATATTCTAAAATTCAGAGATTTCAAAACTTAGAAACAACATAGATGGATTCCAAGGATTACCATTAGGCACATAAAAAATTAAAATTAGTAAAAACAAATAACCTCAAGGTACAAAAACTCTCTCAAAAGTGAAAATTTATTAAAAATTCTGAAACTTTAAAACTTATAACTGATACACATCAAATTTAGAAATTATCAGCAGATTGCTAAAATTAAAATTTTAAAAAAACAACCCAAAATTTTAGTAATTATAAAAATACCTTTAAATTTTTAGAGGTACGAGAAATATTTTAACATTTAAAAAATTATCACCAATACATAAAACATGAAAATTACAAGTGCCCAACTTAAAATTTAAAATTTTTATAAAATACTATCAAAGTTAAAAAATTGTAAAACACACCCTCAAAAGTTTAAATCACAAAAAGGCTAAAATTTGACAAAGAAAAGAGGAAATGTTTGATATTATTACATTAAGATATAATAGGTTAGCATTAGTTGATTATAATGTATAAACATTTATCTTTAATGTTGATAATATTTATTTATAAAGTAAAAAAAATACAAAGAGTTATGTATGGAGAAACTTGTTGGGAAATCAAACTACTCGACCACCTGTCAAATATAAACCTTCGTGCGAAATTTGCCCTACCGGATCTTGTATAAAGAAGTGGAAAGAAGAAACCACTACAAATTAAAATATTACAAGAAAAGAGAACACTGAGTTTTAACGAGGTTCAGCAACTTGCCTACGTCCTCAGGAGCCACACAAATAATTTCTTTTATATTAAAGAAGATTACAAAACTTACAAAGAGAATATCTCAACTTGAGATCTCTCAAAAAGAGAAAACATAAAACTATTTGTTGTTCCCTCAAGGCGTGAGTTTTTCCAACAAGAAAAACTCACTCTCTCCTCAATAAATCACTACAGGAAGAAACCCTTAAATGACTGAGATTTTTCTTCTCAAAAATCTCGTGCTCAAAAGTCGGGGAGGAGAAGACACTCACAAAATGCCGCCGCCACTCTGGAAAAATTCTCTCTGAGATTCTCCTCACTCATATCGTGCACAGTGTTCCCTTAAATAGGAAAACCCTAGCCAATAATTGGATCCAGCTGTTTCTCACAATGCAGGCGAAGAGGGGGGCTCCAAGCTCGCCTGATCAGCTCCACGAGCTCGCCTGCACGTCACCCCACTTGAGCTCGCCTGAAGAGCTTCGACCTCGCCAGAAGAAAACTCGCCTGCAGCTCATCGACAACCTCGCCTGCAGCAAGCCTCAAGCTCGCCTACATCTTGCTGTCGATCTCTCCTGAGCCGTCTATCTTGAGCTCACCTACAACTATCACAACCTCGCCTGAAGTCGTTGATCTCGCATGAGTCTTCAACCTTGCCTGTAGAGCCTTCGCTCGAACTCACCACGAGCTCGTCTGCCCTAGTCATTGACTTTGCCTGCAGAGTCTCACCCTCGCCTATGTCGACTCACCAGAAGCTCGTCGCCTCGCCTGCGCCGTTGACTGGACCTCGCCTGAAGTCGCTCAAGCTCGTCGAGGTTTGGATCTACACCATGTTTCTAACAATCTTCTACTTGCAGATCAAACCGCCATCAGCAAGCTCTCTTGACAAGTATCTTCTCATCCTGTGGCTCCGCCCTTATATCTTATGCATGAAGGCCAACTAAAGTTGTGTACAACTCTAGTTTCTGAATGATGACTGCTTTAGTCAACATATCTGCAGGATTTTGGCTCCCTAAAATCTTTTCCAACTGTAACTTTCCATCCTTAATCATAGAGCGTATGAAGTGGTAACGTAACTCGATGTGCTTCGTTCTGGCATGAAATTCTGGGTTCTTGGCGAGGTGTATAGCACTCTTGCTATCACGGTAAAGAACTTCATTCCCCCACTTCAGACCCAACTCTTCCAGGTAATCGGTTAACCAAATCATCTCCTTGCTCGCCTCTATCACTGCGATATACTCTGCCTCAGTTGTGGACAACGTCATAATCTTCTGCAAACGTGAGACCTAGTTCACTGTTGTCAACCCTAAAGTATAAACATACCCCGTAGTACTTCTCCTTGTATCATGATTGCTGGCCTCTTTATTCTGATGATGTTTAACAAATAATTTACCACTAATGTTGTTTGTCTAGTGTTTGTGTTTATCAGACAAACAACATATTAGAGGATGGATGGAATTACGCATTCACGATCATATCCAATGGAGGTTGGCGGAATTGTGGAGTGAAGCCTACGCAATTCAAAGTTAAAGATTCAAGTTCAAGCTTCATCCGCAAGTGTACTAAGATAGAGCTTCATTGAAGATCATAAGCTTGGATAAATTTAGTTTTAGGTTTTATATTATGTGTGTTAGTACTTTAAGCTCAATCATATACACACATACACGCTTTGGTTTCGTATATATATAGTTATATATATACATATATGTTTTGGTTTGATAGTTTTCAAGTTTTACTATGAAACAATTGAATACAATTGAAAATATATTTCTTGTTTCATACTTATATGCATATATATGATTTCATCAATATCAATTTTAGTTAGTTAAATGAAATCATGTTTTAGTGCATTATATGTGTATTTTTATAAAATACTATATTCATTGTTTATAGACTTCATAACAATAGTTTACATCTTTCTGCAAGTCTATAAAATTATTTTGTATTGTTTCAAAACATGGTTAAGCTAAAATGTCAAAACTCATATGTTCACATTTTTATGTTTTGAACTATTTTATAAAATGATGATATTTTTTATTTGGGAGATCCTTTTTGAAAACCATTTTTTGTAGCATATGTATTATCATGTCTACAATTATTTTCTAAAGTTTTATATTTTTTGGAATTTATTTGCTATTTTTAAACAGGGTTTTAAAATCAAAAAACTATTTCAAACCTGTCAATTTCTAGTATCAGTTTGCGGTCGACCGCCACGGTCGGCCGCCACGGTCGACCGTCTTGACTCCAGAGACTCAGAATGTTTTTTTATGGCTCCCCCCCCCCCCCCCCCCCGGTCGGCCGTGACGGTCGACCGGATGCAGTCCAGAGAGTTTCACGGTCGACCGTCACGGTTGACCGGCTGATGTTTCGAGCCCAGAATCTGTTTCTGACCTGCTCGTGGTTGACCGCGCGTTTTCCACGGTCGACCACCAAACTGTCTTTCAGCTTCTAACGGCTAGCTTCTAGCTGTTTCTCTATGGGCTTTTTGGTCATTTCCTTGGTGTTTTTGGCTAAGGTTTTGGGTGGCTATATATACCCCCTTGCTCTCATCCTTTATAACTATCTAAGAAATGTTTTAAAAAAGTTTTAACAAGGGTTTAAGTGTTGTTTAAATATGTTTAAGAATCTTTTAAGCATTTGAGAGTTTGAGTTTGTGAAATCAATTTCACAAGAGCTTGAGGGGATCACCTATTGGTGTTTGGGCATTCAACTACTCTCTCTCGATCTCTTGATCTATTGAGATGTTTTCTAAACTTTATTTCTAGCTCTTTTTATATATTTGATTATCATTGTTATTAAGCTAGAACTATATTGAGTTTAATTTTGATTTATATCTCTTTGTTCACGCACAACCTATTGAGCTTATTGTATTTACATTCATAGTATAATTAGGTTGTGGGATTGTGTAACATTGAGTGTAAGCCTACATTGAGTTCTTATCTATTGTAGAGAACAAATCATTTGTTATATTGTGAGATTGTAAAGTTTTCGGTTAGCTAGAAAACCGAGTGTGAAATGGAGATCTCCTTGAGGTGAGGTGCGGAGACGTAGGTCGTTGATAAACACGTAAAATATGCATTATCTTAGTGTGTTTCAAGCATGATTTACGAGCGTTTGATGCATATTTCGTGTTTAGATCGAGGATACTGCTATTGTTTGTGTTCTTATATGTAGGTATTAGTTCAAGATTGAAAGATTTGATGATCGTTGGAAGTTATACAAGAGTTTGAAGCAACAACAAGATTTTGAAGGCATGGTTCGTGAAGAAAATGGATGCACGAGTATGAAGAATTGGAATTTCGACCATGATACAGTTTGAATCAAGAAAAACTCAAAAGATGAAAGTTGTAGATCTCTTCAACAGGATTCCAATGCAACTTGAATCACCTCATTCCAAAATACCGAAGACTGTACAGACAAGCACGAAATCAGCAAAACAGCCCCTACCACACCCTGGTGTGGTGCAGACCACACCGGTGGCGCGGGAATTAGTTATTTTCCAGATTTTTAGGGACATATAAATAGATGTTTTGACTTAGGGTTTTGGGGATCTTTTGTTATGTTCTTCTAGCCATCAACTAGCAACTATTCTAGGGTTCAAGTATTGAAGGAAGACATTAATCTCTTGTAGAAGATTGGATTGCAAGTTCTTATTTTGAAGATTTCAATTGAAAGACGGGTTAATTCTTTCCTCTCTTTGATTTATTTCTTCTTATGATTGATTTGCATAATTATTTGATGTCTTCTCTTATTCCAATCATGTGTGAGTAGATTTCTTGTCTAGGGTTGGGAAAGAACCCAACTTTTTGGTGATTGATGATGAATTAATATATGTTCTTGGTGAAAGTTTAGATCTTTAAACTTAATTTCTTGTGTTTTAATCTTGTTGATTCGCTTGATCACCGTATTAGCAATCATAGGTAATTAATTGAAGGACTGAAAGGTGAAGATTAATACCGGATCTCTAGAAATTAAGCAGGGAGCTCGAACCACGAAAGTAGGCTAGATTCCTTGGGGATTTGATTTGGATTAGTATAAATCTTAATGGGTTTAATTTAATCTTGATTCCACGAAAGTAGGTTAATTGAGATTGATTAGGCACGATCTTTAGACCTTGAAAGAGGCTTTAGATTAATTTAGGCTAATTCACCCTTTCTAGATTAAACCAACACCAAGAATTGAAATAATTCATCATTGAACACCTAAGTTGTGGTGATAACCCAATCCTAGTCCTTCATTATATTGAATTCCATCCGATTAGTTGTTTATTTTATTTCTTTTATTAAATCTCTTCTAATTTACTCATTGATTTAGCTAGTCGAATAACGTGAGATTTGGTAATTAACCCTAGTCCTTGTGGGATCGACCTTGATAGCTACAACGAGTCTGTGCGCTTGCGGATTTTGCCCTATGAAGTTTTTGGCGCCGTTGCCGGGGACTACGGTGTTAATATTGAGTGCTTACGTTATTAAGCTAGACTAGATTTTTTTTATTTCTCTTTGCTTCTCACTTTCTTTTATGCAAGGGAATCAAACAGAAGTAAACGACGAAAACAATCCTGAACTATCGGTGACTCTTGCAAACATAAGAAGGTCTATAAGGGAGCAAAGGAACACAGAACAAGCTACGATGGGAGATCAAAATCAGCTTCTTAAGGATTTCGCAGCCCCAAATGCTCAAGGCACACAGTCAAGCATTACAAGGCCCAATGTTGAAGCTAATAACTTTGAGCTGAAACCATCACTGCTCTCAATGGTTCAACAGAATCAGTTTGGAGGAGGTGCTACTGAAGACCCGAACCTCCACCTGTCAATTTTCTTGGAGTATTGTGACACTTTGAAACTTAATGGAGTGACCAATGATGCTATTCGACTCAGATTATTTCCGTTCTCTCTAAGGGACAAGGCTAGGGCTTGGTTGCACTCATTGCCAGCTGGGTCCATCACCACTTGGGATCAATTGTCCAGAGCGTTTCTTGCAAAGTATTTTCCTCCAAGTAAAACAGCACAGATGAGGAACCAGATCACAAGCTTTGTACAGAAGGAAGGAGAGTCACTTTATGAAGCTTGGGAACGCTACAAGGAATTATTGAGGATGTGCCCTCACCATGGACTGGAGAAGTGGTTAATTGTTCACACCTTCTACAACGGGCTCACTTACAACACACGGATGACTGTTGATGCTGCTGCAGGAGGAGCTTTGATGAACAAAACAATAGACGAGGCATACACTCTCATTGAAGACATGGCTCAGAATCACTATCAATGGGCGAACGAGCGTGCTCCTCAGACATCAAAAGGAGGCAAGTATGAAATAGATGCTTTAGACCATATATCCTCTAAAGTTGATGCTTTGTTTAAAAAAGTTGAAGGTTTGAGTATTAATTCTGTGGCGTCTACTTCAATTTCATGTGAGATATGTGGCTATGTGGGTCATTCTGCACTTCAATGTCAATTAGGAAACCCCCCATCCATTGATACTTCTGGTAATGAGCAAGTTAACTATGTTAATAACTTTAATCAGAAGGGAGACCCATTCTCCAACACTTATAATCCGGGGTGGAGGAATCATCCTAATTTTTCTTATAGAAACCCACCTGGAAATTCCATGCCCGCATCTAATTTTGGTCCTCCTGGTTTTTGTCCCCCTCAATCCAATTTCCCTTCTCAAAAGTCAAATTTGGAAAATATGATGAAGAAGTTTGTGATGACTCAATCAAAATTGAATGAAGAATTTAAGCAACAACTACAAACCACGAATGAGGTAGTAAAACAATTGGCCTCTAAGATGGATTCCCTAGCTACGTATAACAAGATGTTAGAGACACAAATCACTCAATTAGCGCAAAATGCTAGCTCTTTCTCTAGGCCTTCGGGCATGCTACCTGGACAACCTAAGACGAATCCCAGAGGTCATGTGAATGCTATAACCCTTAGGAGTGGAAAACAATACGAAGAACGTAAGATGAAGGAAAATGATGGGGGAGATGGTCATCATGAAGAGAAAACTAAAATTGTGATAGATGTGGATAATGAGACCCAGATACAGGAAGAAGAAAAAGTTGAGAAATATGTGGCCCCCGCTCCTTACAAGCCTCCTCTACCCTTTCCCCAAAGGTTAGCTAAGGCTAAGTTAGAAAAGCAGTTCGGAAAATTTTTGGAGATTTTGAAAAAGTTGCACATCAATATCCCGTTCACTGAAGCTATTTCTCAAATGCCTTCTTATGCTAAGTTCTTGAAAGAGATCCTATCTAACAAAAGGAAGTTGGAAGAATACGAGACTGTGGCCCTTACTGAGGAGTGTAGTGCTATCATCCAGAATAAGCTGCCTCCTAAGCTTAAGGATCCAGGTTCATTTTCTATTCCTTGTGTTATTGGTAATGTCTCTATTAACCGTGCTTTGTGTGATTTAGGTGCAAGCGTAAGTTTGATGCCGAAGTCTATTTGTAAGAAGCTTGGCATAGGTGATTTGAAGCCAACCACGATATCACTCCAATTGGCGGATTGATTGGTAAAATATCCGGTAGGTATACTTGAAGATGTACCTATCCAGGTCGGTAAGTTCTTTATCCCGGTTGATTTTGTTATTTTGGAAATAGAAGAAGATTCTAACATTCTAATTATATTAGGAAGACCCTTCCTTGCTACTGCAGGTGCTATAATTGATGTTAAAAATGGAAGGCTCTCTTTAAATATTGGAGGGGAGATGGTAGAATTTGATTTAAGTAATACTATGAAACTCCCTCTAACTGATAAAATTTGTTACAGGGTCGACGTCATTGACAAGTGTACACATGAGCAAATTGCAAACAATAACTCAGCTGATCCACTTGAGAAATGTTTGGTAAGTGATGGTTCAATAAATGATGAAGACCCCGAGGTAGCAGCGTATGCTCAATCTTTAGAATCAACATCAACTGCTCCACTTCGAAATGCAAAGCTTGAAAGATTGATACTAGAGCCAAAAGGTTCTATTTGTGAAAAGGATAATGCGCCAAAGGTAGAATTAAAACTCCTTCCTTCCTCTTTAAGGTATGAATTTCTTGGCACTGACTCTACTTATCATGTGATTGTGATTGTTTTTGGTGGCTTGATTACCACTTTAGCTTACGGGATGGGTTTAGGAGAATTTGTAGATGGACTTCATCCATTAAGCCCTAGTGCGTCCATTAACCTCGATGCTTGTCTACATATGAAATTGATTAGTAATAAGGGCAATAGGTTATGGTTATGTTTTCAGGATAATTATCTTTTCCCACTCCCTGATCCTGATCGCACGACCATCCATGTTCACGCCAATTGGTCCTCTCCGTGAATGAAATTGTTAGGTGTAAACGCTATTCGGGTGAGCGTAGAAAACCCGGTTGTGATAGTGGATTTCTCCCCGGGAGTGGGGAGCGGAGACGTAGGATGGAAGGTCCGAACTCCGTGATTATTTCGTGTGTTTAAGTTTGCTTTGACGCACTTCTCTTATGTTTATGTTTCTTATCGTCATTGTCCATTGCTCTTTATTTATATCATCCACTATCTTGTTTATTTTGTTTACCCTTATGTATATCACTTATCCTAGCTCACATATCTTAATGTATTTTATAGTTTGCTAGGATAAATTGTTAATTAGTTTTAATGAGTATAAAATCGGATTAGATTAGCATAAGACCCTAATCACCCCCCCTCTAGGGTCCAACAATGATCACTGGTAAAATCTACATCCACGTACCCCTGTAGCACCAACTTCTTTCTCCTAAAATATTGTGGCATATTCGTAGTCCTTCTCAGATATCACAATATCCACTTTACGACCTCCTAATATTGTTTCTATGGGTTGCTTGCAAACCTGATCATAACTCCCACTGTATGGGCAATATCCGACCTCGTGCAAACTATTGCGTACATCAGACTATAATGGATGATGAATAAGGCACATTTCTCATGTGCTCCTTTTCTGCATCAGTCTTGGGCAATTGTTCTTCAGATAACTTGAACCGGCTTCCAAGGGGCGTGCTAACGACCTTAGCATTCTGCATGTTGAATATCTGAAGTACTTTCTTAATGTATTCAGACTGACTCAACTTCAGCATCCCTTCAACCGTATCCCGGCTGATCTGTATCCTAAGAATCTGCTTCGTTGCACCCAGATCCTTCATGGCAAACTCCTTTGCTAACTACTTCTTCAGCTTGTTTATCTCTTGTAAACACGGTCCTGTAACTAACATGTTATCAACATACAGCAACAATACGATATAGCTAGACTAGAACATCTTGAAGTAACAGTAATTATCTGAATTGCATCTGTAGGCGTCAAAAAATGCTAATAGATATCCCAAGCATAGAGAATATCACTCAAAAATTCACAAGAAAG